AAAATGGATATTTCTTTGTGATTTCCCTTAACTCTGCCTTTTGAACGATAAATAAGTTGAGTCTGTACCTGATGCTCAATTACTTTCATTTCCATAGGTATGTTCTGTGTAATTTACCATCTAGAGCCCTAATGACTTCCCAGTCTATAGTCCTAACCCACACCTGCCCCCACCCCAGAGCTCCAGGCCCCATATGTTGGGCTGTCTGCTGGACAACAACCTATTGGAGATCTTTAACAGAATGTCCAACAAGCACTTCAAATGCAATTTGTCCCACATAGAAGTGATTGCTGCTCTCATAAAATTCATTTCTCCATCTGCATTCCTTAATGGCCTCCTCACCACCTTCCAATCAGAAACCTGGGACTTGTTCAGAATTCTACCCTCCCAGCCATGTTGTCATTAAGTCCTCCTGAGTCTGTCTTCCAAGAAGCTTGAATTTGGTCTCCATATTCCTCCCCCAACTGTCATTGTCTAATTTGGGGTCCTCACTACAGTGGTTTTCTCAGGTCAGGTTTTCTGGGAAGCAGACTCTGGGTTTCTGAGACTTGCATGTAGGCAGGTTATCAGAGAGAGCTATGGAGAATAATCCCTGTTGGGAGAGTGGAGGAAGAAAAACCAGGCTGGAGAAGTTGAACTTTGATAGTTGCAAGAATAGCCTCAACCAACTCTGTGGGGTGCTATTGTCCCAACTTGGTGCAAGGGGTTGGGGAGAGGGTACATTCCCACTCTCTTCAGCCTCCATCCTCCATACCCCCATCCCCTACTCCCCTCACGCCCCCACTGGATGTAGGCAGCTCCCACCCCACCCCACCTCAAGGCAATTCCCAGAATGGACCTCAGCTGAGGGCCACCAGCCACCAACTCTTGCAGCAGGTGGAGGAATGAGTGCCTTACTCCTGAGGGGATCAGGATGGTAACAGCCTCCTTGTCCCTAATCTTGCTGCTTTCCAATTTATCCCCCACCACCCCACCAGAGGGGTTTTTCTAGACCCAAATTTAATAACACAAACCCTTTCTCAAAATCTTTCAGTAATTCCCCCTTACCAACAAGATAATTCAAATCTGATCTTTGTCTACTAACATTTATGAATCCTTCATGAGCACTGCTCCCCATGCTGGGCAGGAGTTTGTCCCACGGCTCTCATTAACAAACTCCTACTCATCCTTTCAGGACCAGTGTAAGCACCCCCTCCTCTTTGATGCCTTCATTAATATCCTCAAGCCGAAGTAATAATCCTGTATACTCTTTTTATACGTACAGTCATTTGCTTCAGTGATCATTAGACTGACCTCCTTAAGAGCAAAGCCTGTGTCATATTCATTTGTGAAAGTGAAGGAATGACTCCATCAGCCACGTGCATCAGTATTGTATAAAGCTGGTCTACATGGGCTAATTCAAACTAACTAGAGGTGCCTTCAGTCTAGTCAGCTGTTCTTTCAGAGACTTAATCTAGTTGCCCAGTGAGGGCTGTCGGTCCCCAGGGGCCGAGATTCTGTTTGGGGAAATTCAGCTGGTTCGGTACATGTGCTCGATGCTCTGAGGGATTGCACATTTAGTACATACTTCTCATTATGCTGATGCTGTCTCTCATGTTGAAAAGGGGCATAGCCTGGGCACCTGGGTGGCTCAGTCGTTAAGCGTCTGCCTTCAGCTCAGGTCATGATCACAGGGTCCTGGAATCTAGCCCCACATCGGGCTCCTTGCTCGGCGGGAAGCCTGCTTCTCCCTCTCCCACTCCCCCTGCTTGTGTTCCCTCTCTCGCTGTGTCTCTCTGTCAAATAAATAAATATTAAAAAGCAGAAAGAGGCAGGAGGTGGAGCAGAGACAGCAATAGGCAGGGCAGCCAACTGGAGGGCTGAGGACATACTAAAGAATGATGGGACTTCCAGCAGAGACAGGGACAGAGATATGGTCAACCTGAAGGGTTGGGAGGATGGACCTGTGGAGGCTCTGGGCTTGGAGGGGAGCCTGGGTATGACTGGAATGATCCAGGAGCAGGTACACCCTCATGCTGCACAGCCTCCTAAGTGCGCTGATAGGGACAGCAGCCCTCGGCTGAGACTCAAGTGGCCACCCCACCACCCACCCGGCCGCAGTGCTTGCCGTCAGCCTCCTCGTCCTCTGGGCCATGGGCAGCACCTTCCTGCTCAGTGTTTCTGGGCCCCTGCTTCTGATTCTGGTGCACACCTCACTGCACCTGCAAAACCTCACGAACAAGATTGAGAGTATTGGCCTCAACTGACGCCAGTGGGGCTGCAACTGGAGGTACTGGGGCAAGAGCAAGAGGCTGGATCCTGGGGGTCTGGGATCTGTACCCAAGACCTGGAGAATGCCACCCCCACTCTGGGTCTGACCCAGGGACCCAGAGCCCTTTCCCAGCCCTTAAAATAGAGTGCTCTCTCCAGTTCAAAGAGCAGGACATCTGCAACCCTCCCCCGAGTTCCAAAATTGGGATATCCCCCTACCCAGCCCCTCTTGCATAAGGGACCGGACTCTACCCCAGCCCTGAACTTGGGGCTTGGAGATCGGAGCATCCAGGGTCAACCTCAAACTCTGGACCCAGAGATATTCCCCCATTGCCAATCTGGAACCACCCATTTCCCATGCTCATTCCCAAAGCTAAGATCTGGAACCAAGGCATTTTCTTGAACCCTGGTCTAAGGCTTTTCCACACCCCACCCCAGCTTTGAACCCAGGTCAGGACATTGCCAGATCTTGAACCCAGGATGCAAGTATTCCCAGCCCCCATCAGGACAAAGGATTCAAGCATCCTGACCCTGTTGAACCCTTGGTTCCAGGTGACCCCCATATTTACCAGTCCCACTTGCCTCTCTCCAGCTCTGCTTAGGGATTCTGCCCCTCCTCCCCAAAGTTCCACATTGATGAGGACCAAGGGGTAGGGTGGAGTGGGGTGGGGGTAGCCCTGACCCAGAATGAAACATCTGTATCAGTGTTAACTGCAACAATAAAGGCTGTTGCATTGCTCAAGCCAAGAAAGGAAAGGAAAGAAAGGAAGGAAGGGACGGAGAAATTGAGGAAGGGGGAGAGAGACGGAGAAAGAAAGAGAAATGGAAGGAAGGAAGGGAGGAAGGAAGGAAAGAAAGGAAGGAAAGAAGGAAGGAAGGAAGAAAAAAGAAAGAAAAGAAAGAGAAAGGGAAAGAAAAGACTAATAGCCTCTACCGCCACCAGGAAGATGCCCGATCTGCCCCTCACTGTGACTGGAGCTCACGTCAGAGTATAACCGGCCAGAAATGAAGAGAGCACTGGCTGGTCCCCAGTGCCTGTGTGGTGCTGAGAGGCAGCAGTCTGGTCCC